AAATGTAAATAATGGGGGAGTTTCTATATTTACATATAAAAATATTTAAAATAAAAAAGTTAAATTTTTAGAATAACCTAATTAAATAAATTACGAATACAATTATACTTATTACATAAATTACCTATTAAAAGCTTTATAATTATAATACATTAATATTAAAGTTTTGATCAATTAAGTGAATAATTGGAATTATGATCCAATTAAAGTGTTTACATTTTTAATGTTATTAAAAGAATTATTTTTGAATAAATAGTATATTTGATTGATTAAATATTTAGTTATTTACTTCAATTATCAAGTTCTAAGTATATCTATAATAAATAGTAATTAATTATTATATAGATAAATTGATGACATTAATAAATTTATTACTAGTTAAATATCATACTTAATCAATTATAACATTACATTTAGTTAAATGATACTTAATTAATTATAATTTTATAACATTACTTAATTGATTTATAGTAAATTAATTATAGCATTACATTAATTGTTACTACTTAATTAATTGACTTTTATTAAACATTAGTGCAAACTAATTAAATGATTAAATTTATTAATTATAATATTACATTAAAAATTTATAGATGATTATTTATAGTTATTCACTATACATTACATTATAGTATGATTATATAATTAATTAAAACATTACATAATTAAATAATTACTTAATTGATTATGAGTTATGATATTATGTTTAAACATTAGTAATACTAATTTGCTACATAAACTTATGCACAATACTTAATTAAATGATAAGAAATTTAATTAATTATAACATTACCTTATAAACATTTCATTATAAACATTAATTAAACATTACATTATAGTTAATATTACTCAATTAATTATAATATTATTATATACATTATATATATGATCACTTACTTATTATAGCATTACATAGTTAATGATTACATATTACATAATTAGTTATGAATTTATAACATTACATTATAAACTTAGTAATTTACTAATTTACTATTTTTTACATTACTTAATTAAACGATTAAAATTTAATTAATTAACATTACCTATATATTTATAATATAATTACTTAATCAATTATAACATTCTATTATAACATTAGTACATTAATCAAATGATTTGAAATTTATTAATTAAAATATTAATTATAGATTTATAGTAAATTATTTAATTCATTAACATTACATTATACTATATAATATGATCATTAATTAAATAACATTACATAATTAAATAATTACTTAATTGATTATGAGTTATGATATTATATTTTAAACATTAGTAATTACTAATTTACATATAACATTAGCACAATACTTAATTGAATAATAAGAAATTTATTAATTATAACATTATCTTATAAACATTTCATTATAACTTAATTAAGCATTACATTATAGTTAAATATTACTCAATTAAATTATAATTTATTATATTACATTATATTATGATTACTTACTTAATTATAGCATTATATAGTTAAATGATTATATATACTTAATTAGTTATGAATTTATAACATTACATTATAAACATTAGTAATTTACTATACTATTACATTACTTAATTAAACGATTAAAAATTTAATTAATTATAACATACTTTATATATTGTAATATGATTACTTAATCAATTATAACATTCCATTATAAACATTAATATTAATTAAATGATTTGAAATTTAATTAATTATAATCTCAAATTATAGATTTGTAGTATGATTACTTAATTCATTATAACATTACATATACTATTTTATATGATCTATATTAATATACATTACATAATATATTACTTAATTATTATGAGTTATGATATTATATTTAAAACATTAGTAATTACTAATTTACTACAAAACATTAGCACAATACTTAATTAAATGATAAGAAATTTAATTATTATAACATTACCTTATAACATAATTAAGCATTACATTATAGTTAAAATATACTCAATTAAATTATAATATTATTATATTACATTATATTATATCACTTACTTAATTATAGCATTATATAGTTAAATGATTATAATTACTTAATTAGTTATGAATTTATAATATTACATTATAAACATTAGTAATCTACTATACTATACATTACTTAATTAAACGATTAAAAATTAATTAATTATAACATTACTTTATATATTTTGTAATATGATTACTAATCAATTATAACATTCCATTATAACATTAGTATATTAATAATGATTTGAAATTTAATAATTATAATATTAAATTATGATTTGTATGATTACTTAATTCATTATAACATTACATTTATACTATTATAGTATGATCATATATTAATATAACATTCATAATTAAATAATTACTTAATTGATTATGTTATGATTATTTTAAATATTAGTAATTACTAATTTACTACATAACATTGCACAATACTTAATTAAATGATAGAAATTTAATTAATTAAACATTACCTTATAAACATTAATTAGCATGCATTATAGTTAAATAATTACTCAATTAATATAATATTATTATATTACATTATATTATAATCACTTACTTAATTATAGCATTTATAGTTAAATGATTACATAATTACTTAATTAGTTATGAATTTATAACATTACATTATAAACTTAGTATTTACTATATATTACATTACTTAATTAAACGATTAAAAATTTAATTAATTATAACATTATTTTATTATTTGTATATGATTACTTAATCAATTATAACATTCATTATAACATTAGTATATTAATTAAATGATTTGAAATTTAATTAATTAATATTTAAATTATAGATTTGTAGTATGATTACTTAATTCATTATAACATTACATTATACTTATATTATGATCATATAATTAATATACATTACATAATTAAATGATTACTTAATTGATTATGACATTATATTATAACATTAGTAATTTACTAATTTGCACAATATTTAATCGAATTATTATAATTTTATTAATTATAACATTATATTATAAATTTATGGTATGATTATTTATTATTATAAAATTCTATTATAAACATATTATAATATTAATTAAATGATTAACAATTTAATTAATTATAATATTACATTATAATTAAATAATATATTACTTAATTAATTATAACATTACAATTTACATTGTAGTATGATCACTTAATATTATAACATTACATTTACATTGTGTATGATCACTTATTTAATTATAACATTCTTGTTTCTAATATTATTTACTAAATTATATTTGGTATATTATAATACCCAATTAACCAATTATAACATTAATTAATAAATTATAAACATAATAATTTATTAACTTATCAAATAGACCCCTGGCAAATGCAATGTTAGTAATTAGTATTAAGAATTGTTATTTGTTTAAATGATTTTGGTGAAGTTATTTTATGTGAATTGTGATGAATAATGTTTGTGTTTGGTTTTGATTGACGATTTTTATGTGAATTGTGATGAATTGGTTGAATTCAAACGTTGCTTAGAGATTACAGATTATGTTACATTGGACACAAATGAATGATAACGAAAATTTGTTAGGGGTGTATTTGTAAACTTATAAGGTGTTTTTGTTATTTTTTAAACTATAGGGGGTAATTGATTTTTTACAGGGTACCCTGGAAAGGAACCGGAACTGCTTTTAGGTTCCGGTTCCTTGAATTGAAGAACCTGTACTGTGCGTTCCAGTTCCGGTTCCTTTTTGGGAACCTGTACTGTGCGGTTCCGGTTTTCCGTGTTCCCCGGAAAAGTGCAGGGTACCCGGAACCGCTCACCCCTAGTAAAAAGGGATTTAAGTCAGTTGACGGTGTCAGCTCACTGATTTAGGAAACGCTTACAAAAGGTAGGGGTTTAAGAGCTATTTCCGAAACAATAAAGTTTTATTGTAATGCCACCATAGTTCAGAGGGTTGACAGAATGTCTCTTTCGTAAGTCATGGGTTCAGTTGGCAAGGCATGTGTGCCACGTCGAACGAAGCTTTCCACCATAGTTTGTGGTCCAAGTGCCTTCTCAAGAACATTTGTGACCTTAGATAAAAGTTTTTTTGGGCCTTCTAATAATATAAGCATATATTAAAAAGAATTATTTTAAATTTATTTTTCTTACCTTTTGAGATGCAAAATCACTATGAGAGGTGGATGATGACTGACAGGCTAACGGGGTTAGGTTGGTAGGAGGTTTTGGAGAGTAGATGCTGAAAAAGTGATAGGTGGTGGAATGAGTGATTTCCAATGCCAAAATTAACAGGAAAAGACTTGAGAAGTCACGGCCCAAAAGGCATCGGTGGCCTGCTATGCAAAGTAAACGGATGAGATATGATAAGGATTTTGGTGAGAAGGCTGAAGCAAGGAAGATGGTGTTGTTGGGGAAGGCCAACAGTGCCAAGTACATGCCGAAAAGGCCGGAAATGGTTGTCGCATGCAGTGGAGCTAGGTTGCAAGATTCGTAAAAAATTGACCAAATCAAGAGCTATCAAGACTGGAAAAACACTTGGAAAATGATAAAATGATGGTTTCGGTCAATTTTGGTGAGAAAATCGATCAGAATCAGCTCCAAACGGCCAGCGGCGGAAGAGGGGTGGAGATGATTTATGTGAATATCGAATTTTAGGATTGAATTGGAGGTGAGTAATTTGACACATGTAAATGACTATTTTAGCTTTTTATTGTTAAAAGAAATTCAATGTGTTAATTTAAAGGTGTAAATTAAAATATATTAAACTAGAGGTACAAACTTGCTATTTCGTTAAACTTTGGGTGAGAATATATGTAAAAAGTTTATAATAAATTTGGGTTTTTTTTGTTTTTTTAGGGCCCTTTTGGATTGGCCTAAATAAGAAATTATACATTATTTTTATTTTTCGTAATATATTTAAAAAATATTTATAAAAAATTTGGCCCTTTTGACTTTATTTTTTGGGGGCCCTAGGCACCTGCCCACCCCTTGAGCCCGCCTTGGGTCCAACTTACCTTTAAAACAACCTGTGGCGTCAACATCTTCTTCAACACAGCCTATGGCTTCTTCGTCAACACAGACACAACCTCTTTCCTCACCTTCTTCAAAGCACCCTATGGCCTCTTCTTCTTCAGAACGGCCTGTGGCTTTTTCTTCAGAAGAGAGATCCATTAATCAATCATATGCGATTAGTGTAATGGAGCACACTATAGACATAGATATAGCCTCTTCTTCAACAATACAGAGCGAATCTTTTTCAATCACACCCATCTCCTCTTCTTCATCACAGCTTGTGGGTAAGTAGCTACTGAAAATTACAACTATTTTAGTTGAAATTGGCAACTAAAGTTTTAATTGTTAAAGGGTATTTTTATTAACTATTTGAAATAGTTTGCGTATCTTTCCTTGACAATCTTTCAGACGCGCAACTACTTTGAAATAGACGTTAAATGTAATCTGCAACTATATGATAACTTTCAACAACTATTTGAACAGATACAAAATGCTCATTTTCTTGTAGTGATTAAACTTCCATAAGTAAAGATATGATTCAATCAACCAATCAAAATATATGTCTTGAGAATATTTCTGTTTACTTCTTTTATTGCAGAGGATCTCACAAAGTACCGGCCACTGTATAAAGCTATACTCGAAGGCAACTTGGAATCGATAAAAGATTTCTGTGACTGGAATCCTGAAGCGGTACGCGTCAGGATCACGGTAAACTTGGACACAGCACTTCACATTGCTGCTGGGAAAGAAGCGAATCACATTGTGAAGTTTCTATTGTGTTTCATGTCAAAAGATGATGTGGGACTCCAAAATAATGAGGGCAACACAGCCCTTTCAATTGCTGCAATTGTTGGCAATTTCCAAGCAGCCCAAATGATAATGGGCAGACATCCAGACTTGGTTGCAGTGGCAAACAACTCTGGCAGGATGCCTATTATTGAGGCTGCTCTACATGGCCAAAAGAAGATGATAAGATATTTACAGCAATTCACCCGAGATATTTTTCATTTTGACGAAAATGTGCATGCTTTCTCCTTCTTGAATTCGCTCATAGTTGCTGGACTTTACGGTGAGTTCATNAAACATGACATTTTACCCCCTAAACAGCATAAATGAGACAAAAGCACCCTTAATCCATAAACCACAACCTAATATCAACTCATATACTTTCCAAAATCATTCCAAACACGTTAAATTCATAAGAAAAATATTAGGAAGCTATTTTCGTGAATAAATTCATAAATTCTTTAATTGTCTCAATATACTTCAATTTAATCACACATGGGGTATTTTTATCACCAAAATAGAGTCACTTTCATGACTCTAACAACACTTGGAATGAATCTGTTATTTTCGAACAATTCAACTTCATGATTGCTAAAGATCATGTAAGTTAGTGGAGTTTTTACAGTGTGGTAGTGTATGTCCTTGGGAGCTCTGCTAGCAATGGCAGAGAACCATAGCTTTGTTTTACCTCTTGGAGAATTAAAACACTTTGAAAATTGGAAATGCATGTGTACAGATTTATACTTCTTGATGAGTAATACTGAACTAATCTACTTCCATTCCGTATCACCATAGCAGCCTTGCCACATCACTTTCATGATATTTACAAAATGCAATAGCTCTTATCTTTCCAATTACTTAGCATGTTTATCCATGGATATGTGACTGTAAATCTGTTGCTTATATGTGTATAAGAAAATTCTCAGATGTAGACATCCACACTCTTTTTTAATCCAGACCTCCATTAGGTGATGGTAATAAACGACAAAACATATAATTTCACAGTTTTCAATATAAAAACTTGATGTTAGAATTTGTCTTTTAGAATTAGATTGATAATGTTTGAGATACTTGCTTCTCTACTCCATCAAATTTATTTTTGTTTGGTGTTGAAGTATTCTTTTATGTTGCTATATATTTTGTTAGTTGACTTATTGATTATGCATTGAATTGATAGAGCTGCAAGATGAAACACAAGCAGGGGAAAGTGAAAAAACAGAAGCTGAAATATGTGAGGAAGTTTGGGTAAAGCTTCCGGATTTAACCAAAATTTTGCATTTTCACAGATTGAGCATCAATGCACTACAGCAGAAGTAGAGTTAAGGTGCATTGTGCAACAACAAGAAAATAAGATTTTGGAGGAGCAACTCATCTTATTTGATCAACAAAAAGAGAAAATAAAAAGCCTTGAACACCAACAATTTGTCCTGGTGGAGATGATGAAGTAGCTAACTATAGCCCTTGAACTACAGCAATTTGATAAAGCTCCAACTCGACAGCCGTTGCCAGCTCCAACTCAACAGCCATTGCCATCTCCATCTGCTACAGCTATTTCAAAAACCGCAACTGGTGACACTTGGCATGCTAACAGTATTGATGGTTATTTTTTTGTTGTATGGGCAGTAGATATTTTGACATAGGGGTAGAACCATCTTTTTAGGATTGTTTGCATATATATGTCAGATGGTGTACATGGGGTGGACATTTTTTTTTTTTTAGTTATGCACAGACAGGTAATGGGCTTAAAATGTGGGTGCCTGCTTCTTCTTTTTTTTTTTTTTTTTTTTTTTTTTTTTTTTTTTTTTTTGCACATGTGATAGTGCATTTTGGATTTTTATTGCTCATCATGCATAAAAATCCATGTATGGACTATATTATAAATATATATGTATGAAAATATGATATTTGATGTTAGTGATCAGACTTTATATTGTATCAATTATTTTGTTGATGTTGAATGTATAATGTAGGTCAATACGAAATGCTCTAAAAAAAAACACAATCTGCAACTAATTTTTTAGTAGCAACAAGTAATTTAGCATAATTGCATTCCGATGAAGGTCAATAAGAAATGCTCTAAAAAAACACATTCTGCAACTAATGTTTTAGTAGCAAAATGTAATTTAGTATAATTGCTTCCACATTCAGTGTCTAAAAAATAGTCGCGAAAATATTTTGGATTTCACATTCAGCGTCTAAAATGATTACAATTAACCACTAAATTTTGATCGCCAAAAGATATATTCGGCCACTAATAAAATAGTCACGAAAACCTATTGGATTCTACATTCAGCATCTAAAATGACTATAATTAATCACTAAATTTTGGTCACCAAAAGATACATTGACCACTAATAAAACTATACGAAAACCTTGGATTCTAATTCACGTCTAAATGACTATAATTAATCACTAATTTTGGTTACCAAAAGATACATTCGGATTGCCACTATATAAATAGTCACGAAAAATCTATTGGATTCGCTCACATTCGACATCTAAATAACTATAATTAACTACTAAATTTTGGTCACCAAAAGATACATTCGGCCACTAATAAAATAGTTACAAAAAACCTTTTACGTAAATTGCCCTTACACCTTTGGAGTCTAATTTTTTTGGCATTCGCAACAAATTATAGACACTAAAGGTACATTTTGCAATTAATTGATTAATTGCTATATAATTTTACCAAATTACCCCAGAACTATTAGCGTCTAAGCTGGGACTATTTTGACAAGCAATTAGCGACTGATTTGCTAGTCGTTAAAAAAATTTTCCGCGTCTAAACAAAAATTTAGACGCGTAAAAAATCTATGATAACGATACTACAACTAAGTGAAGACTATGAATTTAGACGCAAAAAAATGGCTTAGCGTCAAAGTTACTTTCTGCGTCTATTTTGCTAGACCCGCCGAAAGGCATTTTTCTTGTAGTGGTTCCAATGTTTTTAAAAGTGCTTGATTGCACACTTTACTTTATTGAAATAAATTATATATAGATGTACAAATACGTCAATTAGAATCACCATCCATATTGCCTTAATATGTGATCAAATATTTTTTTTTGAATAAATGGTGTCTCTACTCATAAAAATGACAATATCTCTAGATTTTTCGTAATTTTTTTTAACCATTACAATAACTTTTAAAAAAATTATTGATATAACTTTATATAGGTATAAAATATATAAAGATGCACATAGCAGTTTATATAAATTAACACCATAGCACTTTGAGAGTTTGAGTGCGAAAATGGAGATAATAACCACACACACACATATATTAAGCATTATCAATTTAATGAATTGAAGGAATCAATAAATTTGAATTGTTAAACAAACTGCCATGAAATATTGAAATATTTACAGATTCGCCCCTGCATATATAAGCCCATTATACCCACAAATTGCATACACCCAAACGAGGCAAATTCCCTGATGGCATCGTCACCTGAAAAGGGGCGGGTTGGGGAGGGTATCACTCACCCTCCAGGTGTGGATGGGGATTCCCTGACACTGCCAACTCAGTATGGGTCGAGTACGGGCAACCCCAGGGTTTAGGTACGACCCGACCTCACCTCACCTCGCTAGCCCTTTTTTTTTTTTTTTTTTTTTCCTACTTGATTATTGGTTTATGAGTATTTATGTCCTTTAATTTTTTTATTAAAATTACTTGGCAACTAATGATTATTTTCAGCTTTTCAATAAATTTTGAAATTTATGTAATCTTTAGGAAGTGATGAAAAAACTGACTCCTAAAATGTAATAAACCACATCTTTTGTAATGTTAGGTTGTTGGAGTGTGTATTCTATTTCGAGGAGATGGTATTTTACTTGAGGACAGTATGGCTAAACGTACCTTAACTTAGATATAGATAGGTGTGCTCGATTGGACGACGGGACCCCCACCTATTAGTTGGACCTGACTACTACTAGTTCGTTCTTTGCCACAATTGCACTTTTATGATATGGAAGATTTGGAAGAGTCACTTCTTGGTTCTATGCGTAAGATTTTTTTACTAGTTCAGGTAATTTACCTACTCTCTGTTGTGGAATCTTAGGAACCTGGGACAAGGAACCGCGACGATTGCAACTCTCAAAATATAATCCCAAACTACGTAGGGAGAAATTACACTCAACTCGTCAAACTCTCGTGGTATTTAGTATAAATATGTAGTTTTGGAAATAGCACCAAACCCCCTTGCCGTTAGTGAAATGTTAGGCTTTTCTATTGAGTCAAAATAAACTAGGGTTTAAGGGTAACTATGATATGATAATATAAAAATTAAAATAATGTTCTTTGAAAAAAAAAAAAAAAAAAAATTTTTTTTCTTTTTTCGTCTTTTCTTTCTCTTCTTTGCTTCTTTCACTCTTTAGGTTCATTTTAATCTTCATTTCTTCATACAACCAATACAACACTATTCTTATCTTAACCCAAATGAGTGGAAGTCATTCTTTCCAAATCAATAGCACCCATTTTCAAACAAACTCAATCCGCTCAAAGCTAAATTTATTTATTTTTCACTTTTTGTTTAACTTCTATGCAACTTCATCTCAATACTTTATTATAATCTCAAGTTTGACTCTCTCAACCCATAAAGTAAAAAAAAACTTAATGAAATTTCAGCCAAACTCAGTGGACCTACAAAAAAAACCACCAAATTTTCTTGTGATTTTCTAATTGCTTCACGAGTCCTGAATTTGAACTAAAAAACATGAAATAATGATCAGAAATCATCTAATTGCCCTCGATGTCTAACTATTGTATGTTCATGAATATAACTCAATCTGTGAGCAATAAATATATTTTATTTTGTTGATAAATAATTAACGGAATCATAGGATTAAAGTAATAAAGGGACACTAAACTTTAGTCCTCACCCCGGCTATATTGACTCAAGTAAATTTCAATCAATTTTCTTTTTTCTTTTACTTTCCCACAAATTTCCAAGAAAGTGAGATAAAACGAAAAGCATTTTCCAAGGTCAAGTCATTCAAAATTCCCCACTTCATTTCCCCATCACCCACCAACCCAAATAAACATATAAATACCATATATCTACAATATTACATGGACCTGACTACTTGGTCTACGCCATCACCCACCAACCCAAAACATATATGATACCATATATCTACAATATTACTGGACCTGACTACTTGGTCTACGCGTTAATTATTTGACTAGTTCAGGATAGTTTACTTATCTCTCTGTTGTGGAATCTCGGAACATTGGACAAGGAACCGCAACGATTGCAACTTCTCAAATTAATCCTAAACTT